TACTGGGGAAATAATCTCCGACAAGCAACAACAGATGGAGAGATGGGTGGAACACTACTCCGACCTCTACTCTAGACAGAACACAGTGTCCTCCGCAGCACTAGACGTCATTAAATGCCTGGCAACCATGGAAGAACTTGACGAGGAGCCAACAGCAGAAGAGCTCAGAAAGGCTATCGATAAACTGGCCTCAGGCAAAGCCCCTGGCAGCGACGGGATTCCTCCAGACTTGCTGAAACAGTGCAAGGATTCCCTACTGCACCCTCTTCACAAAGCCCTCTGTCAGTGTTGGAAAGAAGGGGCCGTACCGCAGGATATGAGGGATGCTAAGATCATCACCCTCTACAAAAATAAGGGTGAGAGAAGTGATTGCAACAACTACAGAGGCATCTCCCTTCTTAGCATCGTTGGAAAAGTATTTGCTAAGGTCATCTTGGCCCGACTGCAGAAGCTGGCTGAACGTGTTTACCCAGAGTCACAGTGTGGTTTTTGCGCCGAACGGTCAACGTTAGACATGATTTTCTCCCTCAGACAACTGCAGGAGAAGTGTAGAGAACAGCAGATGCCCCTATACATCTCCTTTATTGACCTCACCAAAGCCTTTGACCTGGTCAGTAGAGACGGACTTTTTAAAATCCTCCCCAAGATTGGCTGCCCACCAAAACTGCAGAGTTTGATTGAATCTTTCCACACAGATATGAAGGGAACAGTCCAGTTCAACGGCAGTTGCTCTGAGCCTTTCAGTATAAGCAGTGGCGTCAAGCAAGGCTGCGTTCTTGCCCCCACACTGTTCGGAATTTTCTTTGCCCTGCTCCAAAGGCATGCCTTTGGTTCAGCAACGGAAGGAATCTACCTCCGCACCAGGTCAGATGGCAAGCTATTTAATCTTTCTCGCCTGAAAGCCAAGACAAAGGTACGCGAGACACTGATTAGAGACATGCTTTTTGCTGACGACGCTGCAGTCACCACACACACCCAGGAAGAACTACAGTCGCTGATGACCCATTTTTCCATGGCCTGCAAAGACTTTGGGCTGACCATTAGTTTGAAAAAAACAAATGTCTTGAGCCAGGACACTGCCACTCCACCAACCATCACAGTAGATGATTACCAGCTCGATGTCGTCCACCAGTTCACGTACTTGGGTTCCACCATCACCGATAACCTCTCCCTGGATGCTGAACTTGACAGGAGGATCGGGAAGGCAGCCTCTACTCTAGCCCGCCTGACAACCCGAGTGTGGACAAACCATAGGCTGACAACTGCAACAAAGATGGCAGTGTACAATGCTTGCGTCATCAGCACTCTGCTGTATGGGAGTGAGACATGGACCACCTATGCAAGACAGGAGAGGAGACTGAACACCTTCCACCTAAGAGGTCTGCGTCGCATTCTGGGCATTACCTGGCAGGACAAAGTCTCCAACGTCAAAGTCTTGACTCGAGCCGGCCTTCCCAGCATGTATACCATGCTCCGACAACGTCGCCTGCGCTGGCTTGGCCATGTGTGCTGTATGGAGGATGGGAGAATCCCAAAGGATATCCTTTACGGAGAACTCTCATCTGGGAAGAGAACAACAGGACGCCCATTTCTGAGATTTAAAGATGTTGTAAAGTGGGACATGAAGGCCCTTGACATAAACACCAAGTCCTGGGAAGACCTCGCAGCAGACCGCCTGAAATGGAGGTGCACCCTGACCAAACAGCTCAAGTCAGGTGAGAAGAACATGATGCGTGCGTCAGAGGACAAGCGAGTTCACCGAAAGGTGCAGAGCGTCAGCCAGGGAGCCACCTATCAATGCGACTGCTGTGGTAAAAAATGCCTCTCCCGTATTGGTCTCTTCAGCCACCAACGACGCTGTCTTAGACAATCAGTCATGCCTCAATATAAGAGCTAGGATACGTCATCCATGGTCAACACTGACCGACGGAGGCCTACTATTCCTTTAAAACCTGTTTAACACATTTTATTTGTTTTTATTTAGTTATACTTGTTTCTTTTATTCGTGTTTATGTAAAGCACTTTGAATTTCCATTGTGTACGAAATGTGCTATTAAATAAACTTGCCCTGTCTATGTATCCAAAAAACAACACAACCATTTCAACAGTAATGCCAGTAAGCACCAAATCAGCATTTAGGAATGTTTTCACTATTAGATACTAAAGCCTGGAGAAATGATGCAAAAAATATTCAGTTTTGCCTTCACAAGAATCCAATATTTTAAAATAGATCACAGTAAGTAAGCAATGTGCATTAAAATTACACATTTATTGTGTATGGCCGTACACCCAAAGCACTCTTCACACCACCACCACCAGTGTGCAGCATTCACTTGGATGATGGAACAGCAGCCAAGGGGACAATGGCGCCAGTGCACTCTCCACACACAAGTTACGTGGAGTGGACAGATAGTAATAGAACCAATTCAGTTGATAATACAAGGTATTTATTTTAAATGTAATATTTTAACTTTTAAATCAGGGCCGGTGGTGCTGTTCTTCAGTAAATAGTACTTCAACAGAGGCATCTGTATTGAACTAAACCAGTTTTAATGTGACTAGAACTACAACAGCATTTTATCACTACTCTGCTGCCCACCTGATACGCTGGAATGTTTCCCAATCTGAAATATTGTTATGGCTTTTTAATTCTCTTTTTTTCATTCATATACAGTAGTCAACCTCTGAAGTGGATCAATACCTTTGATCAAAGTTGTCCTAAAACTATTGATTTTGAAAAAGTATTTTGATCCACTTTAAATGTTGAATGCTGTCTTTTAAGCTTTTTGCTATTTCTGCAGAGAATTTTGTAAAAAACAAATGATCTGGATTTATGCAGAATGATATTAGGAATATCATTAATAAAAACTTAATATATGAAGTTAAAAAAGTAAAACTTTTTTAACTTTATTTAATGTTTACAATGCAAATACAATTAGATCACCTTATTTGGTAAACAACGCGAGTCTCTCATATAATATATCGACTAAAAGACTAAACATATTACTTTAAAAACTTTATTGTAAATTAATCATATGAACATTTTAATTTTACTATTATTATAACCCAATATATTAGTGAAATTAATTTAAAAACTGAATAAATTTAAAATTTACACATATTTACACAAGTAAATTAATAGACTGGATGAGCAAAAAATCTGCGGATTTCTGCACGTGCAGATTCCATGTGGGTCTACTCATTGTGTAACTACTGTGTTATAATGTAATATAGCTATGAACTACATGCCTTCTGTAAGTAATATTTAATCAAATAGGCTTGTCTCAATGTCGGAACAGATCCACATATCGCCGCTAGATGGCGCCATTACTTCGGTTAGTGCTCTTGTGTCAGCATAAATCCACAGAATATAATTTTCCTTTAATATAATAGACTATTTATCCCAATGTAATAAACAAACTACTAGTCAGTCAATTTTTCGAACTGTTTTAAGCCATAAAATCATTTAACGGTCTTAAAATATTAAGTCCAATTAAACCGAGTAGCATAACATTAAACATTTAACGTTAACATTCCAACTAATTTCAGATGCAAGGCTGCAGCCAGGCCCGGATTAAGAATTCAGAGGGCCGTGAGCACAATGTCTTGTAGGCCCCCTACATGGTCGCACCCCTATTGTAAATTAAAAAATGAGAATAACATAATATTTTTAAAATAAAATTAATCTATAATGTACTGGCCGCATTTTTAAAGTAAATGCATTTTTAATGAGATTTAACTAAATTTTAAAGCATTTAAAGCACACTTTAAAAAAATAATACAAATACAACTAGTGAAAGTTACTGGATTTTAATACACTTCTTCAAGTTCACTGAAGCAGTACACAACAATTTTATTTAAGAGTATGTTTAATGTATAGCTTCTACACACTTATAATGCATATGATTTGGATAGAACACCTCTCCAATCCAGTTCTATGAATCTGAGCCTTCTATAATACACACACTTATTAATGATTCCTACTTGTCTTTCTCTTGATGAAGATTAGGCAAAATCTGATATGTAGAGGGAGGAAAAGAAAAATGAGTTCATCAGACGCTGGATTCGAACCGGGTACATAATCGCGTCAAAACAAGTTGCCATGTGCTTTACAAACTCACACACGCTGCTATGTGTTGCACTCCTTAGTTATGTTGTCTCTGTCAATGAAAAGGTGGTGGGCGGGAATCACTCAATTAGCTTATTCCAACTAGGTGCGCTATTTGTATTTAGCCTAAAAAGACAGTCCAAAATCTGATTTTTTCCCCCATTGCAGGGGCCCCAAGTGCACACAGGCCTGTGCCCATAATGCCCATTGGTTAATCCGGCCCTGGCTGCAGCACTGATTAAAATAAAGACATAAGAACAGATGACATGCAGAGGATAATAACAAACCTGTGTCCTGCAGGTTTATTTATAATGTACCTAGAGTGTACAGAGTCATGACATGAAAAAGGTAAAGAGGAAACAGTGTCCACAGCCACGCACGCATTTAAAGCAATTTCATAATATCGCGTATTGTCAGCGGCTTCCTCATACATGCACATTATAGGACTACGAGGTAGGAGTGCGCCTACAATTACATCTCTGAATAGTGTCTGGAATGAAGCAGTCAATGCTTGTTCTTATGCACAATGATAAACCCTGAAGGAGCAAACCATCAGGTTGTCTGATTTGATGATGATGAACCTCACCGAGATCCCCCCACCCACCAAAAAAAAACTTCAGATTTATGAAAATGACCCCATTGTGCTTAGAAAATACAGAAATCCTTATTTCAACAAAAAAAATCACAACAAAAAAATCTGCATCTTAGAATACAGACAAAAATGTTTCACAATAAAGTCTGACATAATAATATTTAAAATTCTAAAAATCTCACCAAGCCCAAATAATTAAGCTCAGAGGACATACATTAGTTTAAATGGTAGTGCACATGCAGATAATTAGAGCACTTTGATATCAACAGATGCTACATTTTAAACAAAACAGGCACTAACCTGAATATCAGTGTCCTTGACTGGTTCAAGAGGCTCAAATGTAGTGGCTGCACTGAGACTCTCAAGACGCTGAGAAATATGGAAGATGTCAAGGCCTCGAGAGCCCAAGAGGATGGATCTGAAGAAAAAAAAATACAGATGTAAAAAGAATTATACTTTTTTTTATTATTAAAATAGCTCATGCAAACATAATATTTGTATATTTATTGACCTTTACGCCAATCAAGGTGTACATGACTTTATTCTTCAGTAGGATTAGTTAACCCACAAATGAAAATTCAGATATTAATTACTCACCCTCATTGCATTTCAATCCCCTGAGACCTTTATTCATCTTCAGAATACAAATTTATATATTTTAGATTAAATCTGAGAGCTCCCTTATCCTCCATAGACAGAAACAGCTGAGATATTCAAAGTAGTGATGGGTTAATTTTGAAAAAATCCTTTATGTGACTCCAGAACGAGGACTCCTCTGTGGGAGTGATTTGTTCATTCGCACATAGGCACATTTGTGCAGGTTTTTTAAATCTTTTATCAAGTTTGATTAGTTCGTTCATCATGTGAAAAACATAAGCCAATCATACGCAGTCAAAGCCAGAAAAAGATTTAACCCTTTACATGCTGTCACATGATGACTAAACAAATTAAAAAACACAAAGGTCAAACAGTGATCTAATCATGGGTCTTTCTGGCTCAGACTGTGTGCATTGGTTAAGCTTTTATGGGACTGTCAGTGTCTCATGAACAAACAGCTCAAATTTGAAGCCGTGTCAGAAGAGCTGAGCTAATCATAGACAAATGCTTTGACAACATTTTTGAGATAGGTGTATGTTTAGGTGTTAACAAACACAACAGTTTAATGTATAGGTTGGTTTAGGCTTATGATAGGTGTAGTAGACATTTATAAAACACAACAGGTTACTGTAAGAGTAATTTTAGACTTCAATAAAACGCATTAGGTAACTAAAAGAGGTAGGTTTAGGGTTGTTCTAGGTGTAGACAAAGGCTGCTCAATATTGTGTTATTATCAATATCGCAATGTGCAAAGCTGCTATAGTCCAAAACTTGCAATGTGAAGATGTGCTCACCTACAATATAATCCCATTCATTCATTCATTCATTCATTTTCTTTTCGGCTTAATTCCTTTATTAATCAGGGGTTGCCACAGCAGAGTGAACCGCCAACTTATCCAGCATATGTTTTACGCAGCGGATGCCCTTTCGGCTGCAACCCATCACTGGGAAACAACCATACACTCTCATACACTACGGACAATTTAGCCTACCCATTTCACCTTTAGTGCAGGTCTTTAGACTTATGGGGGAACTTGAGCACCCAGAGGAAACCAACTCAAGCACGGGGAGAACATGCAAACTCCACACAGAAATGCCAACTAACCCAGCCGAGGCTCAAACCAGCAACCTTCTTGCTGTGAGGCGACTGCGCTACCCTAATCCCAATCGATATAAAATTATACATTTTTTACCAAATAGGTTTATAATTCACAATCTTGTGAAAATATTGCAATACATAATCGCAAACAAACAAAATATTGCAACGTCATATATATCGTGCAGCCCTGGGGTTCGTTCTTTGTACCTCGCTTAAATAATCTAAGATGATATAGCAGATCCTGGATCTGTTAATCTTGATAACTGATTTCTGGCTAATTTGGTTTTTTAAACAAGTTTGTGAATCAGATTAAAATGTCTGGATAAACTGATCTGAGATCGCTGCGTGTGTTGTGAAGGACAGATCTATTCATCCATAAAATCATGATCAGCAATGCAACCATTGGCTGACAGCAAAGCAATGTAATGACATCACCTGATTTATATTCGATTATCCTTGTGAGCAAAATAACATAAAATTCATAAAAAACGTTTTTTTAAATATGATACGCAATAACTTTCCACCTTTGTTATGGGCTACAGGCTTTACCCTTTCATGTGTCAAGAGTATTTAGCAATTTATTTAGTTTTATTGTTAGAGCATATTTTCTTTACTAAAGTATGCATATAGTAGTATAGTAGCCGGTTTCTTAATCGGTGTAAAGAATAACTAGATGTTTACAAAAGGATTTTGATATTGGTAAAGGTGTCTGTAACTTTTGTAAAGCATCAAATCACCATCATATTAGCTGTCAAAGCATGTTTATGACTGCATATTTATTTATTTATTTTTTAAACTATGCATGTCTATTACACACAAATTGTATTAAAGCAATCTAAAAAGTTCATTTCAATAAATGTTCTCTTTGAACCATTGGGTGGCAGTCTTTGTACTTTTATTTTGAATTGCAGATTGCATAAGTTTTATTAATAACTTTATATATATATATATATATATATATATATATATATATATATATATATATATATATATATATATATATATATATAATATATATAATATATTATATAATATATTATATTTATATATATATATAAACAATTTTCCCAAGTGTATATAACTACTAATGTAAGAAAATATCTGCATTTGGTACATACTTTCAGTACTATCTTTGCCTAAACTGACCTGACCTAAACTTGATTATATGAAATAAGCCTGCTCCCTAGCAGGTTTGAGCTACCCGAACTGTTTCTATGACAGCAACTCTCGAATCAGTTTTAAAGCACGAAATGATCCTGGATGGTGTCAAATCATCAATAACCAAATTCAGCTAACTAAGTAATCCACGTACGAAGAACAGACCCAAAGAGTATACTTTAACAAAACACAACAAATTACTGTAAGGGGCAGATTTAGTGTTGTGGTAGGTGTAGATGTTTATTATGTTGGACTCCATGTCCTGGCAAAGGGGGGCTGAAGCAAGCACACACTCTGTCTTGAAACCATTGTATGAGGGAGCTCTCAGATTTAATCCTAAATATCATGATGTATGTTGTGAAAACTAACACATACAGGCAAAACAAATGAATGCAGCAACCACCGTGGTGTTTACTAAAATATTCAACTTCTTAAAAACATAAAATAAAATTAAAATAAAAAGTCAGATACATGTTGGATTGCTTGAGGGTGACTAAATTGCCAACATGTTTTAATTTTGTGGTTAACCAGTCCTTTTCAGCCATGCCAGTGTATATTAAGGTAAAGTTGGTTTTAAATTCGCACATTTGTTCATTTAACGTTTCCTATATTGTTTACCACACTAATTTGAATATTGGGTCTGAAATAGCAGTTAAATATGACTTCAAAACAAAAAAAAAAAAACTGTAAACAATGGTGTACTTTGATAGTCATTGGCTGTTAATATAATTTCCTTATTTAAATTTGCAAATAATAATTTTCTAAATTTATATTATCAAGGAGAAAGTCTGAATGTGCGAATATAAAACCAACTTTACCTCAATTCAGATTATACGCAGATGCCAAACTGAAGACTCACGCTTTTACGTCAGCGGTGTCTTGAGAGGTTCTGGTGAGAGTACGAGAACGCAGACGCTCCCCTGCCTGCTGGATCTCCTGAAGGTTTCGCTCAACATGGGGCAACTCGGACACGGCCTCAGTCTCTGCTGCAAGCTGTTCTGCCTGCTGCAAGAGCTCCCCGAAACCCTCAGTATCCATGTCCAGCACCCGTTCCACCTGCCAGGAACAGAAGAGTTGAGTGTCTGTATTAAATGCTGATATGAACCAATACCAGTTAGTTATAATCACTCACTACAACTCTCAAAGACTGGGGCAAAGTTGGTTTTATATTGCACATTAGTTCATTTTTGAACAAGGACACATTGTGACATGCTACTTTGAATATTCAGTTTTAAATTGTATGAAAGTATGACTTAAAAACAACAGTACTATTATATTAACTGATAATGTTAATGTTATGAATTAAGGTGAAATATAAAATCAACTTTATCTCAATCTCTTAAAACAGTCTAAATGAAACTGAGACTAATAAACCAACAAATTTCATATTAATGGATTATGACTGCAAAGAAATAACTGGATCTTGTTTTATGTCACATATCACTATCATGTTAACTTTGGTATGTCAGTGACATGATTAAGAGATTATACACAGGAGAATTAAACTAACGCAGTCATTAGTAGATTACTCGTAATAAATGAATATAGCTCTCTGTGTGTGTGTGTGTGTGTGTGTGTGTGTGCGTGTGTGTGTGTATGTGTGTGCTTGTTTAAGATTTATTTACATTAACACTAGCACAATGTAAGTTAGTAAGCACAGCACTCAGCAGAACTCAGTTACTGGCTAGCAAGCTAACTTGACATGAGGTGCTGTCGGCAAACGCGGCAAAAAACACACCTGTCAAAAGCAACTATAATTATTAGGTATTAACTAGTTGATTAGTTAATAAATATGTAACAACCCACCTCGCTGTTTGTTAATCCTTCTAGTGGCTACAATAGGATAATTTCGCTTTAGCCGCTATGCTAAACACATCCCCCTCGTGAACTCCCGGGTTCCATTGAAAGAGCGCGCTGATTGGTTCAAACAGTTTTTTCCCAGAAGCCCCCGCGACAAGAACCTTTATAAAGATCATGTCAGACACAATTTCTGTAATATTACTTGAAACCCTGAGATTACCGACCAATACCCAATAAACTTAGAAAATAAAGAAATTTATAAAATTGACACTAGTAGCATTGTTGTATTGTAATATTAAATAAAATATAGAATTTAAATAGAATAGTAAAAATATAACACACACACACAACTTTGTTATCAGAGACAAAAATATTGTTTGTTAAGAAGCAATAATAAGACTACAATGGAAAGTATTCAAAGAAATTTAATATATATATTTATATATCTTATTTAAAATGTTTTAAACAGGAAAAGATTAAAAGATAATCAGGCCTGACTCAGCATTAATACTGTTTTTCAGCAGGTTGCTGCTCTGCATAACAAAAACATACAGACACACTTGCCATCGCATCCATCAACACATGAGAACAGTAGAAACAATCACAAAACATACAAAATAGAGGAAAGCAGGCTACTAACTCAGTGGCTATATTGATAGTTGACCATCAGATGACAGGCTTTAGAAAAGTCTTAGAGTTATTGTTTTAGATGTTGTGGGATCTCATTCCAGGCTTTTGTGAATACAAAAAAAAAAAAGAGAGATCTGTGTTCATAACAGTTTTTAAAAGTCGGTAATGACAAACATTCATTTGTTGCAGATATGGTGGAACAATTAGTCCTTGCGTTAAGTTTTGGTACCGAGCACAAAGGGCTGCTGAGGTAGCACTATTTAAAATTTTACAGTAATTCTTGATCATAATGTAATTTTGAAATGATAAAGCTTTAGAGAGTGATGGAGCCTAACAGTGATGTGTCCATCCAGAAAGTTTATTGTAGATCTTATAGGCCCTATTGTACAGTCTAGCTATTGGCGCCAAGATATTATATCATGAACAAAAACAGGCAAACAGTAAGTAGAGATTATGGCACACAAAAGCATAGGTGGATTTAAAAAAAAAAAAAAAAAGAAAAAAAAAAAGAAAAAAAGCATTCCATGCAGTCTCATTAAACTAACACCAAATGGTAAGCAAATTATTTCCTTAGTGTTATGCCTTGAAATTTTTACAATATTTAGGTGTATAACAAACCTAAGGACATCAACTATCAAAACGTTGTTTAAATAAATTTACAGAAGTAATCTTGTTTATATCAATAAATCACATTGGTTTAGCTTTGTCAAGAAGATTCTGTGTATATCCCACTTTGTTTTTTTTTTAAGTCAATTAAGCAACCTCACTTTTATTTTATTCATTTTTTGCATAAATGTTTGGCAAGGACTCTATACCAATAATTACAAAAACAAGCCACACAAAAATAAATACCACCATTTATTTTAGACAAAGGACATGGCAGAAAAACGTACAATAGTTTCATTTTAAAGACATCTCGTGATAGTCTTATTTGCAGCAGTACAAATCAGTGCATCGTTTTCCCTCTTTAGCCTTTGTTAGACGATTTTTGCAACATTAAACAGACAAGATTGAGAACAAAGAGGTCATTTATCATCTTGTAATAAAAAATAAAAAAAAAAAGACAATCATGCGATGCAAAACGCAGACGTGGAGTAGACAAACAGATTCACATTGTAGAAAACATCACGTTGACCTCTTCATTGACAGCAGCTGGAGCCACAGGAATTGCCTTTGCAGACGCAGCCAGAGGCACACTTGCTGCAACCAGATGGGCAGCAAGAACAACAACCTGGGAAAGAGGTAAGCCACCAAATTAGTTTATTTTAAACTAATCTTAATAGTTCATCCAAAAATAACCATAACTCAGCCTTTGTTTTAAATATTTAGGGGGCTTGTTGAACTACATTATAAAATGGGTTTTGAAACATAAGCTACCCATTTAATAAAAAAAGAAGAAAAAAAAATCCCATAATCAGACATTATACTTAATATAACTTCAATAAAGGATTCTTAGCAAACTCCAAGTAGTGAAATCGCATTTACCACCCAATGGCCATAGGTACAACATTGCCCAGTCAAATAATTCATGCTAATTTTTACGTAAACCTAGCATGCCAATTCAGACTTAATATTTAAATAAGTTTAATAATATAGGGACCATCAAAATTAACGAAAGGTGCAAATAAAAACCCAACTTAAGTTATTCCTACTATGAAAGTCAAATAATAGAAGCTCATCTTTGTTCATAATTAGTGAATAACAGAAGTACCTCAAATTGAGAAACATTTTTGGGAGAGGTGTGACCCATACCAAATCATTAGACAATTAAAAAAAAAAAAAAAAAAAAAAAAAAAAAAAAAAAAAAAAAAAAAAAAAAAAAAAACACATTGTTTAAAATTTACTCAGATAAAAACTTGGTTTCCCCAGAAGGAACTTAAAAAGGCAAATACATACTCTTCTTGCAGGTAGTACACTGGCAATTAGTGCACTTGCAGGTAGCACCACAGTTGCAAGTTCCAGCTTCAAAATAAGACAGACAGGTATTAAAAAGGGACATAATAAACTCTAAAGTATCTTGAGAAACAACACTAAATGCATCAGCTGAAACACTTACTCTTGGCACATTCGCAGGGGTCCATTTTTCCAGAGAGTATCCACAAAGAGCTTGAAAGTTCCTTAGAAATATCGTTCACTCAGCTTGTGAATGAGTTGATGCTGGAGGCGTGTTTGTGCTCTGCTTTTATACAGTTCTGACTGCGCGCAGACCGAGTGCAAAAGCCCGCCCGCTCCAGCCTGCACACGGTGACTCGTTAATGACACTGGGTGCAAACAATCAGCAATCACCGTTCCCACCATGTCACATCAACGTGTTGTTTATAAGATTATATAACTATTTCCACTCTACTTGTTGAATATTGATTGCTGTTTGTTTACATGATTATATAACTTGATGCTTTTGTTGTTTTCCTTTATCGGCGTTCGATCGACAGTTAGTCACCTTCAATTCGGTTTTTACAAGAACTTTATATTACTGGTTTCAAACTGTATCTCATTTTTTTTCTTTCTTTTTTTAAGCTATTAAGACTATTGAAATAGAGAAAAGCAAACATTAAAACACGTATTTGAGCATAATAAGTTGCTTTTATTCCAGTCACATGCCTATCGAAGGCATGAAACATACAATATGCCCACGGAGACACTTTTTTCTTAATTTTAGATTTGTTATCTCATATGTAATTGTTTGCAGTTGTCATTCTTTGCGCACGGCACTGACATGAAACTGTGAGTGTGACGTGACCGTGTGTGACAGCACGTGCTCCCCCTGTCTGCACTCGGCGAAGATGCGGTTCAGGCCCTCAGTAAACAGTAAACTGATTTTGCACCCGATTTCTGCTGTTGACCGGGAGTAATTTTCCATTAGCCATTCAATTGGAACCAAACTAATGTAACGTGTGCAGTGTCTCTCTGGAATTTTTTAGGGGGGTAGACAACTTTTAAGAATTAAAATGTTCATTACAATAAACAATAAATACTATAATCTGTCATTTTACCTGCTAATCATTGTTAACAATTGTTTCATGTAAAACTTTAGAGGGACCAGGATGTTTATTTAATAATCATTTTTAGTTCTTCATCTTGTGCATTTGGCTATTTTCCATAATAACAGACTTAAACGTTTGTAAAACAGCTATCATGATTCAAGTGAAGCATTCACAACTAGAATTTCACTAAAGATTGGGGTTTATATGCTGTTTTAATATCAGCTTTTTCAATATTTAATAATATATATTTTTTTATTCTTAGTCTCGTGTCTCTTGTTGCTTTGCGTTACGAGAAACCCCTTTGCCTGTAAAACAGCTTGACTGAAGTGAGCCATGCATTCACACCTTAATTTACCAAAAAGATTCACAAGCCATTCTATTTCACACATACAGAATGACTGACAAGTATCAGATTCTGCAAAAAACTTTAAGTAAACTAATTTTGCACCCGATTTCTGCTGTTGACCGGGTGTAATTTTCCATTAGTCATTCAATTGGAACCAAACTGAAGTAACGTGTGCAGTGTCTCTGCAGTTTTAGAAATCAAAATGTTCACATGAATGTTAAATAATAAATAACGATAATTTGCTTGGTAGACTAATCAGTGTTGAGGAAGCTTTGAAAAAGGTAACTGGCTAAATAATCATTGTTTACAATTGTTTCATGCAAAACTAAATAAGGTGAATTAGTATAAATCATGTAAATTTAGCTGAGGTAAACCTAAATCTGTTATTGAGAGGGATCAAGATGTACATCTAATAATACTTTTTAGTTCTTTGTCTTTTGCCTTTTGTTGTTTTCCATAATAAACCACTGAAATGTCTGTTTCAAATGTCAGCTATCATGATTCCATTGAAGCGTTCACACTTAGAATTTCACCAAAGATTGGAGTTTATATGCTATTTTAATTCACACTCACAAATTGAGTAAAATGTATCAGATTCTACAAGAAGAAAACATTTATTCATGAGCTTTTTAAATATTTAATAATAATTTTCTATATTTTTTTATTCTTCATCTCATGTCTCTTGTTGTTTGGACTATGAGAAACCCCTTCAAATGCTGTCATGACTGAAGTGAATTATGCATTCACACCAAATTTTTAATTGAAAGGATTCACAAACCAACACTTACAGATTGACTGACAAGTATCAGATTCTACAAAATAATTATTTTAATATTTATTTACAAGCCTTTCCAATTTGCAACCTTATCAGGAAATAACATGTGACTTGTTTGGTTAAACAGAGGCACAAAATGTAACTAAACAAAAGTAGCTGAAGTAATTTCACAGTTTAACATGACTTATAACCAGGGCCAGACAGAATCTGCTGACATTTTTTGCAATCTGCGGATTTATGCAGAATTATTTAAGGAGTATCATAACTAAACCCTAGAATATAAAACAAAAAAATAATACTTTTTAAAGTTGTATTTAATGTTTACAATGCTAATCCAATTACA